ACATTATCATTATCAACAACATTAGATATTTCTTCAGCTTCCATATCAGTGGGAATCTGTCCACCATTACTATCCTCTTTAGTAGAGTCTTGTCGGCATATAAACTTTAGCAATGAACCCTTCTGTTTTTCTTGTTCCTTCTGCTGTTCAACTTTTCGTTTACGATATTGAGCTCCTGAAGGCTTCTTTCTCTCAGCCATATCTGAAATGTAACAAGAAAATAATAAAATAAATGAATGTTGCGATGTTTAACTAATACATTAATAGGTCTTCTGTGATTGGCTTCAAGAATAAATTATATATAGCTAGCTATAGTTTCCAACAGGTCTGAACAGCTCTGTAAGGTTTTGACAGGTTATCATTTAACTGTATTATACAAAAAACAACTTGGCAAAGTTATACGTCCTGCTAGTATTTTTTGTATTTTTTTAAACGGAAATGGAAGTTAGCTATATGAATGAGATTTCAATGTGTAATTAGCTGGTGCAGATCAAGACATATTGTAGAAGCGACTCAACAAAAAATTTAACCTGCTAGATGCATTGTGTTTAAATAATTCAAATTTTATTTTGTATAGCAAAGTTATACGTATGGTGAAGTATAATAATAATATAATACGTAATATATATTAGCCCTAGATTTAAGCTAGTTATTATATATTCATATAAAAAATATTTTACTTTTCTTAATAAGTGTCTAAAACTTAATATAAATGTATAATAGTATATAGAATGTCACTATTCCTCTATATGTATATATATATATATATTGTCAGTATAAATTATATAAAGAATATAGTCGACTAACTATTGAAAGTTGTTATGAAAATCACTTTGATTGTAAAGACGCCGCCATATTTGTTATGATTTAGATTGCGTTCGGTAAAATGTACGTACATATTGCTCAATGAGCAAAAGCGTTGTTTTTTGTTAGCATATAAAAAAACTTATCAATTTTTAGGCGCCCCTAAACTTTGGCGCCCTAGGCGATTGCCTAGTTCGCCTATAGGGTGCACCGGCCCTGCAACTGTTACACATTTACACCATTTGTATGTTATTTTTTTTTTAACTATTGCAATACCTTATGAGTATTTTTTATAAATGATGTAGATTAAAGGTCAATACAAGTTTTTTTTTAACTATAACTTAATATTAACAAAAAATTTAAATTTCATTTTTGACTTGGATTTTGCGGCTGTCTTTATTTTCTTATTGTCTTTTTTCTACTTAAGTAGATTAGATTAAATTAAAATAAAATTTATTAGAAGAGTGATACGTGTTCTAAAGGACACGCAAGTCCATAAAATATGAAGGACTCTGACAACGTGCCCTACATTCACATAATACATATGCTAGATAATTTAAAACATATATTACAATTATATATAAGACCATAGTTATAAAACAAAAACCAGTTAGCCGGAACAGTATTTTCCAAAGTCGATAGAGTTAATTTTAATTTTGAAGCTCTTTATATTTTTGACGTTCACGACCTCAGACGGCAAGTTAGTCCAAATATTAACAACCCTGAGTGAAAAAGAGTATTTACGGACATTAAGTTTACATTTTAGTTTGCGTAATTTGAAATTATGTTCTCGAGTGTAAATATAGTTGTTAAATAAAAAGAAACTTGATTTATTTAGACAAACTAAATTGTTCAGAATTTTGTAACATGTAATCATGTCTTGCTTAAGGCGACGAATTTCTAGTAGTTCCAAACCAAGAATTCTAAGCCTATTTGAATATGAAACGTTATTTAGGTTAGAAATCCTCTTGGTAAAACGTCTTTGCACTCTTTCCAATGTATTGTTCATTTCAGTGCGATTTGGCGACCAAACCGCAAGAGCAATATTCTAAGATTGGTCTTATATAAATAGTGTAGACTTTAACGATAACACGTTGATCACGACTTTTAAAACACTTAAGGATTAGATATCCTCGAATGTTTGATGTGCGGACGATATTTGAAATATGATTATTGTAATTTAAGTAAAAATCCATGGTCACACCAAGATCTTTTGGGTTTGTAGACCAAGTTAAATTATGATCGACTAATTGATAGTCGTAATTTAAATCTTTACAAAATGAAGTAAGTACTATTCTATGAGTAAAGCACTCATTATTGGCTACTTTTAACTGCCATTTTTTTGACCAGAGATAAACTTTATAAATGGCTACTTAAATGAACTATATAGCTTGATATCGTCATCATATAAATTAGAGAGAAATTAAGATCTTTTACTACAGAGGGTAGATCATTAATATATAACAAGAATAAATTTGAACCCAAAACGCTATTCTGTGGAACTCCACATAACTTTCCACAACACGACAGCTAGTACATGTAAGGGAGATAGGTCTATAATTGTTAGCATCTGAAGTAGATCCTTTTTTAAAAATAGGGGAAACCGTAGCTTGAAGCCACTGCTTTGGTAACGAGTTTGACGTAAAACTTGATTCAAATATATATGAAAGCGGAATACATATTATATGTGTTAACTGTTTTAAAAGTATATTTGGTATACCGTCAGGTCCAAATGATGTGCTAGATTTTAGATTTTTTAGTTTTTGATAAACTATCTTTGCTGAAAAATCTATGAAATCCATCTTAATATGTTCACTAACAAAAGTAATTATTTTTGGCAAATTTTCGTCATCTACGGTAAAAACACTTCCAAAGTGTTTCTTACACACTTCCGCGATTTCAACATTGTTAGTAGTAAAGTTGCTATTTGTTTTTAGAGGGTAAATTTTTTTGAGGTTGTTTAGATTTTTTTTTAGTTATTTACGTAACTAAAAAACTTAAATTATTTTTTTTGACCAGTTTTAGTTCCACATTTTTATGGTATGTGGATATGGCTTTTTTACATTTTGACGCATATTGGATAAATGCCTTTTTGTGCAAGATGGTATTTGTGATTGACCATTTTTTCTATAAAAAGGATTTGCGAATTAGCATTTTATAAATATACTTTGGATAAGAACGACTTTTTTTCTTATGGTATATTGTTCTGATTAGAACAAAACGATCAATACCTTTACGAAGATTATCAGAAAAGGTGTTCCAATGTTTCTTCAGTTATAAAAACAAAAGAAAAATTGAAGTCCAAACTTATTTTTGATAAATAAGAATTAAAACCAATTAAATCTGTATTTTTGAAATCATAAAAAGATTCAGAGTTTGTTTCCGGCTGATAATAATTAAAGGTGTTTATATAAAAAAGGAGTTATGGTCGCTTGTAATAAATGGACACTCAACAGAAATATTACTTAATAGGGAAATGATATTTGAAAGAACAAGATCAAGAATATTATTTTCTCGAGTGGGCTCCAGTACATATTCGTGCATACCATGATTATTTACTAAAGTTAAAAAAAGATTATGACATTTCTCAATTGGCGAAACGCAGTTAACCCAATCAATTTTCGGTAAGTTGAAATCTTCAACAATGACAAATTGAGGAACAGATTCACAGAGATTGCTAATTATCGAAATCATTTATTTAAGATAGATATAATTATTAAGAGAATAAGACGGTGGACAGTAACAAGTAATTAAGCGGAGTTTACGAGACCCAAAATTTAAATCAACACAAATGATGTCAATATCTATGTCAGTTTGAGTAATACTTACTATGGCAGATTTAACGTCAATTCTTCAGTATATAGCTACACCACCGCCAATTCGTACCCGGTCTTTACGATAAATCGAATAATTTTTTGGACAGACTAAGATTTGTTTGACTCAACGTATAAAAAAAACCGTTAAGTTTGTTGGCAAGACTTCTTGCGTTAAAAAGATAAACTGTAAAATTGTTGAACGAATTTGTGAAGTGATTGTACGAACTTATTAAGTTGCTACGTTTTGATAAGATAACCTTTTTAACGCTTTTGCTGTTTACAGCAGTTGTTTACTAATGTTTAAGGCATGATTTTTTTGTAATGATTTCGGAATAACTAAAGAAGTTAATGAGCCATGACTAATATTTTTGGTTTTTGCAATTATAAAATGATTAATTTTTATGAATTTTTCGTTTCGTATGCCATAATAAAAAAGTAAAAGTTCTGAATTTTCTATTTTTTGTTGTTGTTTGCACTCCTCGTATAATAACTTTGCTTTGTATCGCTCAGCCACAGTTAAATCGGGATTGATAAACACTTACTCGGTTGAGTTTTTTAAACTTGATAAAATTGATAAACACTAAACTCGGTTGAATTTTTTAAACTTTTTGCAGCTTTTAGAAAGGAATTTCTATCATTTTGGTTGTTAAAAACAATAACAAAACGTGATTTTTTGTCGGATTTTGATTTTATTATTTGTTTAATTTCGATCTTTGCATTAATAAAGTTTATCAAGTGGAGAATAGAATTTTTATCTTCTTCACTTGCTTGATAAATCTGCTTTTTTTGAGGCTTCGATACCAAACACTACAACGTTACTTTACCGTTTTTCTCTTTCTTTTGCCTAGGCAAAAACAGCGTTCATTAAATGAAGTTGTTCGGTTGACCTTTTCGGTGGCGTATTTCCACTAACAACACTAGCCCACGATATAAACGTGGAAGGTACAACTTTAGCTTTCTCTAAAACATTTAGACATTTAGTCTCTCGGTTAAAACTTTTCAACTCGTCGATTGTTTTGATTACCCAGATAGCACAACTTATTGGTCCAACATTGGCCCATTGTTGGCAGCCAACTACTTTAACGTTGACCCGATGTTGGGCGACTGATGTGGGCCAACATTGGCGTGATATAATAAATAACATTGGCCCAACAGAGTTGGGTCGACGTTGGCTAACTTATACGGGCCAACATCGGCTTTATACTTAGCGCAACATTGGTCCAATGTATTGGCTTAACATTAATGTTTTGCCACCCTTGATAACTCTTAGTTATACGAACCGTATTTGCATAATATTAGGTGAAATTTTACCTAACATTATGCAAATTGTTGAAAACAAAAAGATAAATAAGAAGTTTGTTATAAGCAAAAAGAAACTTATTAACTTTATTATTATTTTAAACAAATGAGAAGTAGATTATTAAAGTCATTGTTTTCATCTTCACTATCTGGATCAGCATGCGGTCTTTTCAAACGTTGCGTCCTGCCACCGTTTCTATCTTTGGCATAGCAAAACCAGTTCATAATAGCATTTTTTATTTCGTGATTTGTTGCATTAGCTACCCTAAAATTGCAGCGAACTGCTTGCATTACAACATTGCTTAAGGCCAATGAGCAAAAACTGTATTTTCCATTTTTCCCCATCCAGTTGATTTTAAGTGCTAGTTCGTGCGTAAATAAACTTTTTAACACGTTTCTAACTGTATCATTCACATCAGTTCCACCAGTTATTCCAAGGAAACCAATCTGAAATTTAAAATAATAAACTCATTAAATAACTGATCAGCAATAACTTAACGACATTGTTATATTTCATTAACGTTTAAAATTTTTAAGCATCTAGTAGACTATTTGTTTGTTGAGTTAATTTAATTAATTCAATTTACCATAGCATTTTTAAAATCACTACATTCAAGTTTGTCATCTAAACTTGTAGTATCTTCTTAACTCCCTAATATTTTGAAACCATCTGGAACCTTACTGTTGTTTGAGCATAATCCTAATTTTGACAATACTACATTCAGCATTGCATTGCATGTTTATATTTCCGTGCATAGCTCCTTGATCTCCTCTTTTTGCTCAACTATCAGTTTTAACATATGTTGATTAATACCTAAAAAATATTGTGTTGAATATATCTAAAAAATTAAATATTGGATAAGTTGCCTTCACTGCGAAAAAAAGAACCTAATTTTCACCTAAATATACAAAGAATATATGCATGTGTCTTATAAAAATTGTAAAATATATGCATATATATATATATATATATATATATATATATATATATATATATATATATATATATATATATATATATATATATATATATATATATATATATATATATATATATATACACCCCAGACCCATTCTCTACGGCCATGTGTATATATATATATATATATATATATATATATATATATATATATATATATATATATATATATATATACACCCCAGACCCATTCTCTACGGTCATGTGTGTATATATATATATATATATATATATATATATATATATATATATATATATATATATATAGCCGTAGAGAGAAGGGTATATTGTCCTGGAGCCCATGTCTGTTTAAGGCTCCATAAGAAAAAAAAACTCAGCCCTTGTTGCAATTTCTATTGCTTTTTCATAGGTATTTATTAAAACAAAATTGTTGAATATTTTTTATTTTTAAGATATAAAAAATTTAAGTAAAATATAACATTTGTTAATTCTATAAATTAGTTCAATATTTTCAACAGATAAATACTATATTTAATTAACAACAGATAAATATTATATTAATTAAAAAAAAAAGTTTAAATTATTAATATAAACTTTTTTTAAATTGACAATATAAGCAGAATTTTAAGAAAAGCTTTACCTGCAGTTCCAAATAAACGAATGACTTCATGCATAGACCGATTGTCTGTATCAGGTATTTGAGAAGTGATAATAGCTTTTTTTATCTTTGAAGAACTATGATAAGGCGGCTAATAACAATACTTTTTATCCCCAGACAACCATGTTAAAGGAACAGGCTCCACTTCATCTCCAATAAACTCTACAATTATATATTTACCACCAGACATAATTTGTATAAATTCATAAACTTTAAACTGTATTTCAAAAAACAATATACAAAAATCAAAATAAAGTGAAATATAAAAAACTGTTTAAAGACAAATAATAAAACGCTTTAATTGTATAATTACTTAATATATTATCAAAATACATGTTATACAATGTACATGTTAAATACTACTTTTCTTTTTTTTCAAATAAGAAATTCAAAAATATGTGTGAATGAGTGGTAAAGCAAGATATCTAGTGCTATCTAACTTTATAAGTATTCACTTGCTTATTATATCTGAAACAGGAAAACTAAGCAGATTCAAGTTTACATCTTTTACATAAACTTGAATCATTTGATAAACTTGTAAACTTGTAATCATTTGATAAAGTAAATTTATGGCAAAGTAAAAAAATTTTACTATCTAGAACAACAATGTTTTTAACAAGGTAATACTGATTATTGCTTAATAACACACAACAGTCTTTACAACATTCAGAAACACTTATTAAAAAAAAGCTAGTTTTCAACTTTAAATACTGAAACCAATTTGAAAATATTGATAAAATGGGACCATGCTCATGTTTGCCAGACAAAACAAACTCATCAGAAATTGTATCTTGTTCTACAGTGTAACTTGTCATCTCAGATAATCGTTTTACAACTTGCTGTAATGGCTGCTTAGGTTTTCTAATCAACTTTTTTAACTTTCCCAAAAAATTTTCGAATGGAACTTTCCCAAAAAATTTTCGAATGGAAACGCGCTAAAACAATCAAGTGGACCAAATCTTTTTGCATCTGAAGCTAAATGCACAAGATTGTGAACATTATACACAAAAAATTCTTTTCCATACAAAATGTGTGCATTCTGAACAAATAATTTGAGGAGACTCCCAGCATACTCTGAATGTGTTTCACATAATCGAGGGTTCACCAAAGTACTTACTCCACAGACCAACAACAAAAAATGTTTTTAAACTTCATCATCAACAACTTTATTTAATACAGCAATACCAGCATAAAGAAGAAAGTTTCTAAGCTCAGTTGCTTTCCAATAACAAATTTCTTAAATAGCACGTGGTTTACGAGAAAATTCAGTAGGGAAGTCTTTAGCCATGCTAATTAGTTTATCTGAAATTTCAGCCGTTTTTTTTGCAGGGTAACGACCCATAAGACCTCCTTTACCTATCCACTGTTTAACTAACTTACCAACAACACCTTTACAGACTAGATGCATATAATCAATTGGAAAATTTGTTACAATGCCTATTCCAAGCTCAAGTAATGGAGTTGAACCCTTATGGTGCTCTTGGTCATCCATTGCAGCAAAAACTTCATTGGTACGTAATTGGCAATTCACATCTGTGTATATTACTCTTCCACTCCATTCACTTTCAACCACACATTTTTTACAGGCTGAGTATCCACTGTGAAGCTTAATATTTTTTAAGAAAGCTCTTGCAGGTGCGTCACAAACAAAAGCACCTATTTGAATAGTGTAATGAGCTCCGTTAAACAAAATACCTTGTAACAACAATTCTTTAGCCTCTGTAATAAATTGGTCTAAATATTCATTAAGTGAATCTGGCTTTGTTTTACCCATATATATATACCAACAACAAATGGTTTTGGCTTTTGAGACTGCATAACATAACACAGAATTGGCCAAAATTGATCTAATGTACTTTTAGATAAGGGAATACCATCAACATTTAAACATAATGTTAACACATTTTCTTCATTAGTTAGTCTTTGATTAGAGAGAAAGCTTTCAATACCACTACGCAGTCCTAAATGATAGTAAGTCCCATTTCCTAGTTCTCTAATTACAACACTGCGTGAAGTCTTAAGCAGTGTTCTAGAATCTTGAGGCAATAAAAGGTGATATGGATTCAATAGTTTCAATAGTGATGTTAATGATACATGTGTTATGTTAAACTTAACAGCCCCCTCACGTAACTGCTCTACAAGTTTTAACTGAATCAGCTCACTATCAAATGTTTTATTATCGCTGCTGTAATTAAAATGTTGAAGATGGTCATCATATGTATAATCATTACAAAACCTACTATCTAAATCACTTGCTTGCATATAAATAGATGAAAAAATTGGGTTAATATTGTTAATAATGTTAATATTTTCTGAATTGCTGTCACCATTTGATAACAAATTATTTAATTCATCATTAATAATAGAAGCTTCTTTCTCAGTTTCAGATATATATTTCATTATAGAAGATACTGTTTTAGATATACGCCGCCTCTTTGATAAGTATGTTGATCTTGATTGATTATTTGATGCCATTACTGTAAAACAAATTTTTACTGATAACTTATAAAATATATATATATTTATATTATATATATATACAGGGGTGCGCAGGTTATCGCAGAAAAAAATGAAAACAAAAATTTTGCGGCAAAAAATATGATATACAGTGAAAAACATTTTTGGCGGGAAAATGCAACACAGTTTCAACAAGTTAATCCTTAAAAAATGCCGTTTTTCACTAATTTAGTTGTAAAAAATGGCACGATTTGACAGCATGCAAAATGAAAATGAAAGAAAACTTGTTTTTGATCTATGGAAACGTGGTGTGAAAAAAGTTGAAATTTGCAAAGCCGTGAAGGGACAGCTTCATAATTCCAACGTCTACAGACTCTTAAAAGATTCAGAAACTGGAAAAAATTAAAAAAGAAAAAAAACAGGTCCAAATCGTTATGTGAGAACTAAAGAACTTCGAAATTCGATCGACTGCAAAGTACGACAAAACCCAAACAGGTCAATTTCATCCTTAGCTAGAGAAGCAGGTGTGTCTCGAAGGACTATGCAACGTGTTGTCCACGATGATCTGGGTATGAAGAGCCTTGTCAAGTCAAAAAGACAACTTCTGAGTGAGGCAACTAGAGCCAAAAGACGCAAAAAATCAAAAGAGTTACTAAATTGGTTCAAAGACCACAAAGATATCCCGATCGTTTACAGTGATGAAAAAATTTTCACAGTTGAACCAGAACCCAACAGATACAATGACAGAGTTCTTGGTAAGTCCAGAAGAACAGTTCCTTTGGAACTGAGGACTATTCCAAAGAGACAGCATTCTGTGGGCGTCATGGTTTGGGCAGGTGTGTGCTCTGATGGGTCAAAAACTCCCCTTGTTTTTGTTCCTGAAGGTGTAAAAGTCAACCAGGTGACCTATGTCGACTTCATCAAAGCTAACCTCATTCCTTGGGCCAAAAAGAAGTTTGGGGACGATCCATGGGCCTTTATGCAGGATAGTGCATCAGCACACAGTGCAAAGAAAACTGTCAGCTTCTTGAAAGAAAATGTTCCGCACCTTTGGACCCCAGATATGTGGCCCTCTTCAAGCCCAGACATTAATCCTATGGATTTTGCTATATGGAGTGTCATGGAGACCAAGAAGGCAGCCAAAACATATCCAAATTTGGCAGCCCTCCGAAACGAATTGAAGAAGATCTGGAAGAATTTTAGTCCGGACATGGTGCGACGATGCTGTGAGTCAGTTCCAGAGCATTTGAAGAGTGTCATTGATGCCAAAGGAGGCTACTTTGAAATTGATTAGTGTTTTTGAGTAAAAATATATGTGATTTGGTATTGTGAAAAGTTTTACTTTGAAAATAAAAGCCATTTTTGAGATATAAATATTTTTATTTTTCTGCAATAACCTGCGCACCCCTGTATGTATATATATATATATATATATATATATATATATATATATATATATATATATATATATATATATATATATATATATATATATATATATATATATATATATATATATATATATATATATACAGGCCCGCCGCGTCCCTTTATGACGCCTAGGATCAAAATTTATCTAGCGCGCTGTCATATTGACCTAATCAAAAAAAATTTAGATACGGTCCAAATGCTAAGTTTTTTTTTAAGTTTTACTTTTTAAAACTCACTTTAAGAGGCCGAGAAGGTAATTACAGTCGAGAAGGCTTCTATATATTTTTTAAATAAGTTTGAAAAAAGGTAAAGAAAGAAGCACAAGTTGACAAATTAACTTTATTATATTGCGAGCAACTGTAAATTTTAAATGTAATAGATATTTTAAATGCTTTATAAGAATTTGACTCTCCGTGCTTTATTTAAAGCAAAATTTTCAATGACCTCGTCGTAGCACAGACTTTTTGCTAGATCGTGCTCAATAGATATAACTAAGAGATTGGTAAGCCGGTCTTGACTCATTGTAGATCTTAGTGTTGTCTTGACTAGACCAAGCTTGCTGAAAGACCGCTCTCCTTCGGCGATGGAAACGGGAATTGTGTTAAAAATACGTAATAAAATGCATGTTGATTCGAAAATAGACTCTAGAACCTTTTTGATAAATTCCATTTAATAGTTTCATTGAAGTGAGATATTCTTTTGGACCGAAAAGATTGGCACGCTTTAGAGTATCCAGATGACGAACCTCTAAAATAAGTTTGTCTTCATCTACATCGTTCACATACATTTGCGCCAAAGTTTTACATTTTTCCTCCAGGCTAGGTTGTTCAATTTCTTTTTCCTCACTCGACCTACTATTAGATTCTGAGAGCCATAGAAAAGAAAAACTGTTAGTTGTCTTTTCTGCAGCTTGAAATCTGTCTTTTATTTGTTGAATTAAAGTATCGAGAGCGGTGTTGAATACATTCACCTCAAACTGCTTTTCATCGTTTTCTAAGAAATGAACTTCGTGCCTTGCTTCTTTGAAAAAGTTTTCCTCTTTCTTGTCCTTTTTTGAACTAGTTTTGACTGAAACCCATAACTAGCTAGACCGGAGGCAACTAAATGTGCTTCATTAATTAATTCGGGCCAAGAAGATCTAAGTCTAGTAAGATCCTCAATAAGAATCTTCATAAGTTTCATCTCATCATCTAAAGTAATGTTTTCTGATTGAAATGACACGCTGACATAGTTTATTGCTTGCAGCGCTTTGAACCAGAAGGTTGTCATGATAATAAACTCAAATGACTGAATCCATTTCTCTAAAGATTTTACGTCAATCAATAGATCAGCAGTTAAATCAAGATCACAAAGTTTCTGCAAAGATAAAAGAATTTCTCTGGGTTGCTTAACCAACGGCTTCACAGCCTCAATGCGTGCACTCCATCGGGTTTGTGAAGTTTGATGTAGAGACAAACCAGTCGTCTCGGTCAAGATTTTCCATCGTATAGGGCTTCCACTAAAAAGATTGTAGAGTAACTGAATACGAATATTCATTTTGAGAACTCCAACCCAAATAATGCGCAATAATTTGTTTACCTTCTTGTTGGCAGCAAGAAAACTCTTCTAGATGTAACTGAAGAGTCTTGCTGTGCTTTGCAAGTAGCTCTAGAGTTGCAAGAAAGTTGCCTTTATCGTCATTACCGATCATTTTTGATGAGCCTAAAATATCGATTTTAATTACACATATAAATCATGACTTTCTGTTTAATTATAGTAAAAATAAATTATAACGTAAACATAAATATAATAATAATTGTTCACAAATATACCTCTGAAGCTAAGGTTGCGTGATGCTAAGAAGAGAATTACACCTAAAATGCACTTTAAAATTTCACGCCACCTGGCTGCCTCATTTCTTATCAATTTTTCTAAACTTGAATCAATCCTACATTGATTTCTCAAGCTTTCCAGCGCTGTTTTCCACTTAATGTAATTGTCTCGATGGTGAGGATTGTTTTGGTGGCCTTTTACTTTTTCAGCTAGCTTTCTCCAGTTTCCATTGATGCCACCATTCCAACGTAGAAGATGTGAATTATTACCAGCCCCGCAGGCTTGTTTGCTTCCGAAAAGTGAGCACGGAAAGCAAAGAAATGATTTTGAAGTTGCACTCCAAACAAGCCAATCTCATTTTTTTTAACTTGGATACTACAATCTTTGAGCGTACGTTTACTTTTTTGCTCATTTGCTGTCCTATTTGCCGCATTTTTTCTGTTTTGACAGCCAGAATCTTTTTTCTTGAAACTTTTGTTTTTAAGAAAGTTTTGAATTTGATTGAAAACTATTTTTATGATACTTAGTAAAACTATATTAAATGTTAGAATCTCAATTATACAATGTACTTTAACCTTATTTACCTATCTATCTATCTATCTATCTATCTATCTATCTATCTATCTATCTATCTATCTATATATATATATATATATATATATATATATATATATATATATATATATATATATATATATATATATATATATATATATATATATATATATATATATACATATATATATATATATATATATATATATATATATATATATATATATATATATATATATATATATATATATGTATATATATATATATATATATATATATATATATATATACATATATATATATATATATATATATATATATATATATATATATATATATATATATATATATATATATATATATATATATATATATATATATATATATATATATATATATATATATGTTCTTTATAAACAAAGCAGCTCTTACGAATATTTTCCCGCATCAATTTTGACTAGACTCAGACTCCTGCATATGACTAATACTGCATTCGACTAATACTGTATTGTTAAGTTAACAATACATTTGAAACTTATATTTTAAAATTAGCAGTTTGAAAAGTTTTTCATTGAAGCCCTGTGTATCTATTTTATATAAAAAAAAAATTATCATTTGAGCGCCCCTCATGATCCTGCGCCCAGGTAAAAAATACCCGGTGACCCCCCCCCCCAGGCGGCGGCCCTGTATATATATATATATATATATATATATATATATATATATATATATATATATATATATAATATTAAAGTCTTGAAAATAAGAAGTCACTGTAATAGTTATTTAAAATTAAACTAAATCATATATATTCTTAATAAAAATATGTTTCAATAATAGGACTTTAAAATAATAAACAAATTCTACATGCAGGATACCAACAACACGTTTAAGTTAAAGTCAAAAATCGGTTAATTTTTTTTTCGTGTATCTACGACACTGGGTATATTGAAACTTGAAGGAATGGCCAACGTTGGGCCCAATTCGTCGATTTTTATTATTTTGCTTTTGAGGAATCAATGTTCGCATCCTAGGTCCAACGTTGGCCCAACAGCAGTCTAAATTAATAAATATTATTAGTTCGGTCTGTATTGGTTGTCAAATATTATAATTTATTTGATTTTCATGTCCTAACGTTTTAAACAGTAATATATATTTTAGTTTATTACCGTATGTTATATTTTACGTCTTTTCTTAAAATTTTGTCAAAACTGCTTTCTTCATTATCTCTAAAATTGTGTTTCAAAACCACAAATTTAAAAAAATGGAATGCCATACCATATCTTCTCTAACGAATGCAACAAATATACCTGTAGTGTAGTAAATTAGATAGTCTATAATTAATTCTAAGCCAACATAGAAGGCTTTATTCTTTATATAATAATATTTAAACTAAAATAAAAAAATAGGTTAGTTTTAGTATACACATAATTAAACTCAACAAGGATAATAATAATTATAAGAAGCACATTCTACCATACTAAATAAACAAAATAAGTAAAAAAGTTTAAATTGTTCAAATATAGTCATTTGATTATTTAGGAGAATTCCGGGATCTTCCTGAACAATGAGAGACTGATTCTTCAATAGAAATTCCATTAGGATTTGCTGGAGAGAGAGAGAGTAGAAAAGTTTTGAGATCTTTTCGGATGGAAAGGCTCAGGTGAAGGGATTGTATTAGATTCATTGGAGTTATCTATGTAGTTGTTATTTCCGTCATTATCACTGATTATATCAGCCATTGGTGCAAGATGTCTTGTAGCAACAGTGGTCTCACGTCCATCAGGCATTCTTACAATTTTTACTATTAGCTTCTAAAAGCTCAATATCTTCAGTGTAAAAGCTCAATATAACCAGTGGTTCATATTTGCTGTGTCGAACATGCCTTTTAAGCAATACAGGACCCAAATTAGTTAACCATGTAGGAGCAGAGTGTCCATTAGAAGAACGTCAACTGAGTGTACGTAAGGCCTGAAAAAACTCATCAATAGATTCTCCGGATGATTGTTTACGTGAAGCTAACTGATTTCTGGAAAATAATTGATTTTTAGGTTTTAAAAATTAGTTTTCCATAAATTCTATAGCACCATCAAATGATTCAATGTCAGCAATATAGTCAAACACGGAAGGAAATAAATAGTTAATGAGGACATCTAATTTATCTTCTGTTTGTATAGTTTTCATGAAGTTTGTAAAAGTTCTAAACCAGTGTGACCATTCTTTAGAAGCTGATGCAGAATTAGGATTGTTGTCAAATCGTTCCAGTCTTAGATATTTATCCATTAAAATATGAATAATTACATGTAGAGTAGTAAACTAAATAGTCTATAATTAATTCTAAGCCAACATAAAAGGATTTATTCTTCATATAATAATATGTAAACTAAAATATACAAACAGGTTATTTTTGGCATACACATAATTAAACTCAACAATGATAATAATAATTATAAGAATCAGCACAATACCTCAGCAATGCAAAAAATAAATAAGAAGGGATTAAATAAAATATAAAATGAAACCTTCGTCACTGATTAAATCTTACATTTTCAAATCTCAAATAGTAAATAGCTGTTGCTAACTTATATGTTGCTAACTACTATGAAACTATGCAACGCTAAACCTGTAAATAAAGTTTCGTCTGAAAATATCTTCTGTGACTCTTTAAAAAATTTTGATTTTAATTCTTTCTTAATTCAGTTACCAAAAATGTTTATAAATGTTTAAAGGTGTCTGATTCAGTTCCAAATATTGTCTAAAAATGTTCTTAAACTTATTCTTTATGTTGCTTCCTAGCCTCTACCATATTGAATGTCTCTGACTGCATTAGTATGGTTTTCATAGCAAACACGCATATAATTATTGAAATAACTAATATTTTTTGACTTAGAGAAGGCATTTGATTCTGCTGATCGATATATTTTCCTTAGTAAGTTGTAACACTATGGTATTTGAGGTATTGCTATCCAATGTTTTTCATTGTATCATAATAGATTCAGTTTGTGTAACTCAATTATTGAACAATTTAAAAACTTTTTATTAAACTATTGTTTAATATTTAGGTTTGATATTATTCAATATTATTATTATTGTTACTATTCTTACTACTATTATATATATATATATATATATATATATATATATATATATATATATATATATATATATATATATATATATATATATATATATATATATATATATATATATATATATATTAAACTAACTGTAATTTAAACTATATCATGTATATATATAAATTTTTTACATTATATGTATGCTAAAATTATGCATTTGCTTTCTAAATTGAATTATTTTACTTTTTTTTACATTTAATCAACATATTTCTGGAAAATTCTTCAATTTTTAAATTATAAGTACACTTGATGTATATAAAAATTTAATAATACATTTATAAACGTTATAATGAAATACTTTTTATGCATAATTAGTAATTTTATTAAGTTATTCATAAAAAACAAACCAAAAATAGTGTACAATAACAAAATGACAGTGACTGAGATTTAACTTAGCAGTCTGCATATGAAAATATACAATAAAATTAAAATTGATCTGTGGTTAGTATATATTGTGTCCTTGTTGAAAGTATATTTTCTTTTAACTAACTTAATTAACTACTTATTATTTTGGTTTTGAATAAAGAGTTAGATAAAATTTATTTGAGTAAATGATACCACTACAAATTATTGTACGCTAACAGCATGCACTTAAATAAATTATATTTAGTAATATGTAAGTAAATTTTTGCTTTAAAGTCAAGGTTATTATTTTTATTTTATGTACAGAAAACCATTGTTTTGTGATGTGGATAAAGACCAATTTTCTAACTCTTTTGAAGAAAGTTCAACTAGAAATTCATCATTTACATCTTCTGAAAGATGTTCTTTGTTAATTAGTAGTTTAAATGAAAATGATAATGACAACAAAGATTACCATGATCAAGTTGTGGAGCAGTTTTATTGGTATACTATGTTTGTGATTTTCGTTTACCAGTTTTTGTTTATTATGAATTTAACTTAAGAAAGATTTATCCCTTTTTTAAGTTAAATATATATTTCTTGTTGTTTTTTTTTTCAAATTTTATTTTAAGGCATGGGAAATGTCAACAAGAAATCACTGAATATTTTTCAAAGTTTGAGTAAGTTTCCTTCATTCTGTTATTTATATCAGTTAAATAAAAAAAAAGTGTTGGCACCAATTTATCACTATTATTCCTTAAATAATTAATGGTTTATTAAAATAAAGTTTTTACTAGTAAATTAGTCATTTCATGCTAAATGAAGCAAATTTTTATGAAGTTTTTCAATATACTAGTTTCAATATAATAGAAGTTATATTGAAAAAGTGTTTTTAAAATTTCCATTTTTTTTAGCATTCATACTATTTAAAAACTAACAAATTTTAGTTTATAAATTTATAATTTGTTTATTAATGTAGATAAATAAAATGTATTAAATATATAAGAGTACGTAAATTTACAATTAAAAATTTAAGTGACACATTAGACACACTAAAATTTGAAACTGTTTTTGCAATATAAAAAAATGGTAAAGAAATTACTAAGCATTTATGTATTTTTAGTTATCTTATAAATAATATTAGTTTTCAACAAAGTTATTCTTTTTTTCTTATAATTTTTTATAAGTTTCAAAAATATGAGCAAAGAATTTGTTTTAGTTGATAATTTAACTGACTTTTTCAGACTATCGTTTGATGTTTACATCATGTTCATATTAATTTTTTTTTCTGTTTTTAATTATAAATACTCTTTTATTAATGTGTATAAGAAATTTGTATAAGAAAAAAAAAAAAAAGCCATCAAAGTGAACCAGTCTTGGCTCACTTTGATAAAGAGGGAAAGTTAATGTACAACAACCCACTATTTCAACTGTTTTAGTGATTTTTAAAAAAACTACATTGAATATTAGTTATAACTAATAAAAATTTTTTTGGTTTATGCGACACAATGATTGCAAAATGTGGCCAACGGAGCTGTCCAGTTACGTAGACCTGGGAGATGTGAAAATAAAAACAGATTGAAGATGATGTCATTTAGGTAAAAAAATATAAATTAATGTAAAGACTATTTAGTAGGAGGGGTAAAAGTTAGCAACTCAGGTAGAGAGAAACCATAACTCACACTCTAGTCATCTTTCGCAAATGATAAAACAATGATCTTTGAGTAAACGAGTCAATAAAAATCTGCTGGTTCATTAACGGTATTCAGGGCTGACGACACCGGGGGGTCAGAGGGGCATGTGCCCCCTCCACTTTTTTTCTAGAGGACCTTTTTTTTTTGAGAAAAATTTTTTTAAAGAATTTTTTTTTAAGATAT